AAGAGGGACGGGGAGGGGGAGTGGGAGGGGGGGGGGGGCGAGGAAAACTGGAGGGCGTATCCCCTCTCCACCGTGCGAAGGACCCAACGGTCCGAGGTTATACGGGACCAAGCACGGTGGAAACGGGAGAGGCGATCCCGGAAGGGGGGAACCGGATCCTGGAAAGTGGCTAAGGTGCCGTCCTCGACCGCACCTTCAAAAGGCTTGCCTAGGCCCAGAAGGTGGCCTAGGTTGGCCCTGGTTTTGACCGGGTTGAGGGCCGGTCGACCTTCGCCTACCACCTCGACCCCGCCTCCTAGCAAAGTCCTGTCTTGGACGAGGCGGGGGAGGGTAGAACCGCTGAGGCTGTGGCCTGAAGGGCCTGCGCTGAGGCCCTGGGACATGCATCCCCAGGGAGCGCATCATTGTTCGAGAGTCCTTAAGGTTTTGGAGCCTCGAGTCTGTTTTCTCTGAAAAGAGGCCCTGTCCCTCGAACGGTAGGTCCTGCAGGGTCTGCTGCAGTTCCGGAGGCAAGCCCGACACCTGGAGCCAGGAGATTCGGCGCATTGCTATCCCGGAAGCCAGGGTCCTAGCGGCCGAGTCCGCTATATCAAGGGACGCCTGTAGGGAGGTGCATGCCACCCGCTTGCCCTCCTCTACCAGGGCCCCAAACTCGTCCCTCGAGTCCTGGGGAACCAGTTCTTTAAATTTCCCCATCGAGGACCACATATTGAAGCCGTAGCGGCTCAGGAGCGCCTGCTGGTTCGCTGCCCGCAATTGCAGTCCGCCAGCCGAATAAACCTTGCGTCCGAACAAATCGAAGCGCTTAGCGTCCTTCGATTTGGGCGCAGCGGCCTGCTGGCCATGGCGCTCCCGTGCATTCACTGAGGAAACCACCAGTGAGCACGGTTGGGGGTGAATGTACAGATACTCGTGTTCCCTGGATGGGACAAAGTATTTTCTCTCAACCCCTCTGGCCGTGGGCGGAATAGAGGCCGGGGTCTGCCAGATAGTAGTGGCGTTGGCCTGGATGGTGCGGACCAGCGGTAATGCCACCCTGGATGGAGCATCCGCTGAGATGATCTGCACTATCGGGTCATGGACCTCCGCAACCTCCTCCACCTGGAGGTCCAGATTGCGAGCCATGCGCCGCAGCAGGTCCTGATGGGCCCGAAGGTCTATCGGGGGCGGCCCGATGGACGACGTGCCCGCTACGGCCTCATCAGGAGAGGACGAGGAAGATGCCCCCGGTGGCAAGGGGTCCAATGGTTGGTCCTGCTCCAGGTGTTCCTGGTGTTGGGCATCTCCTGCCCCCTGGTCAGGGGCCTCTGCAGGTGCGGGCACTGGAGCCTCCACGTCCCTTGGAGGAGGGCGGGAGATGGTAGACTCTGGGGCCCTGGTGTCCGAACGGTCAGAGCGGGAAGCCGACAGGGGAGCTCCTTGTGCTTGGTGGTAGGCCCAAGGAGTCCAAAAGGACCAATGCGCAGGTCCTTGCATCGGGTCCTCGGTCTCCTGCAGGTGGCCGGGCTCCACCGTCTCAGATGACCGGGACGCCGATCTCGACGGCCACGGCGGTGCCGAACCCGATGCCGTCGGCACCGGATGGTACGGTGCCGATCGGTGCCGACCGTAAGGGGACCTGTCCCTGCGTTGTTCCGGCGAACGGTGCCGGGACCTGGACCGGTGCCGATAGTCCCTCCGGTGCCGGGATCCCGATCTGGAACGTGACGACGATCTGGAGGAGGCGTGGTACCGGGAGCGGCCTCTCGAGCCCGAGTGGCGCTCATACCGGTGCCGGGAGCTGCGCCTCGACCCCGATCGGTGCCGGTCGTCACGGCGGTGCCGGGATGTTGAATGGCGCCGCGAGGAAGATCTGGGCCGCGAGTACGACCGGTGCCGAGGTGACACTCGGCGCCGGGACTCCGAGCGGCGTCGGGACCTGCTTCGGGATCTGGAGCGGTGCCGAGAGACTTGTGGTGGCGATGGTGGGCGCACCAGGGCAGGTTTCCCTCTGGACTGCAGCACACGTGGCGCTACCGGTGCCGGGAGTTGCGACGGCGCCGGCTCAGTGAGGGCGATCAGGTCTCTCGCGGTAGCGAAGGTCTCCGGGGTGGAAGGGAGACAAGGTTCCACCACCAGCCTTGGTGGTGAAACAGTCCGCACCGGACTCAACGGCCTTGGTGCCGGAGTCGACGGTGTGGCCGCCTGTCTTTGGCGGTCCAGCTGCGGACGCGGCTCTACCCCCGGCACCAGGGGAGCCGGTACCTTCGCGGCAACAACGTCCCGTGTCTTAGCGGTCTTCTTATGGCCCGGAGAGATGGATCGGTGCCGAGGCTCTTTGGGCGGGCGCGGTGCCGACGTCGGTCGGTGCCGAACAGTCTTTTCTGTCGCACCGGTCGAGCCCGCCGGGGCGCTGCGCACCGAAGCGCTCGGTGCCGGGACAGGGCGCGCCAAGGGAGGATCTGGACTCAGAGCCGCCTCCATGAGGAGCTGTCGGAGCCTAAAGTCCCGCTCCTTCCTTGTCCTTGGCTTGAAGGCCTTGCAGATAGGGCACTTATCTGCTGGATGAGTCTCTCCCAGGCACTTCAAGCAGGAGCTATGCGGGTCGCTAGTTGGCATGTGCTTCCCGCAGGACGCGCACGGCTTAAAGCCAGGAGCCTTGGGCATGGGCCCGGCTGTGCGCCAGGGGGAAAAGGGGAAAAACACCCCCTAAACCCCCGATAACAACTTACAACTATATATATATACACTATACACTAACTACTAACTAACTTGAACAACTATCTATATAACTAAATACAACAAGAACAATGAAAAGCTAGGGAGTGTGGAGATCAGCTAAGCCGCGCTCCACAGTTCCAACGACCGTCAGGGGTGGTAAGAAGGAACTGAGGGGGCGCTGGGTCGGCTGGGGTATATATCCAGCGCCATAACGGCGCCACTCTAGGGGGCTCCACAGCCGACCCACCGGGTGTTGCTAGGGTAAAAATCTTCCGACGATCGTGCACGCGGCGCGCACACACCTAACTGGAATGGATATGAGCAAGCACTCGAAGAAGAATTTAGACTTCTTGCATTTGTATACAAGCACTTTAAAAGTTTGTCAGTATTTAGATCTCTGCTTTAATGTGATATAATTGAATAATAATATAAGAAAGGCCGTACTGGGTCAGACCTAACATCCATCTAGCCCAGTATCTTGTCTTCCAACAGTGGCCAATGCCAGAGGGAATGAACAGAACAAGAAATCATCAAGTGATCCATCCCCCGTCACCCATTCCCATAGAGCTCTTTTTCATTTGACTGTTTCTCTTCAGGTCATACCTGTACTTTATCAGCTTCTATCCTCTCCTCTTGACTAGGATATAGCATATTCCCTTTAATAAATACTCCCTTAAGGATGTGTCTATCTGAACTGTGTGCTCCTCCGCACCTGTTGGCTTTCCCCCAGCCCTTAGGTTACAGAGGAGTTTTTAAACTTTTTAATTTTACATGCCAGAAAGCTGGTTCCTTTTTGGTTTAGGTGGATCCCATCCTTCCTGTACAGGCTCCTCCATTCTGAGTAGGTTCCCCAGTTCCTAATAAACCTAAAATCCTCCTCTCAACACCATCATCTCACCCATGCATAGCAACCTTGCAGTTCTGCCTGTCAAACTGGCCCTGCATGTGGAACTGGAAGCATTTCAGAAAATGTTAGCATGAAGGTCTTGGACTTTAATTTCTTTTCTAGCAGCCTAAATCTGGCCTCCATGACCTCTCTCCTACCTTTCCCTATTGTCATTGGTATGTACATGTACCATGACCACTGGCGCCTCCCAAGCACTGCACGTAAGCCTGTCTAGATGTCTCAAGAGAACTGAAACCTTCACACCCGGCAGGCAATTCACAGTGAGGTTCTCCTGGTCATCACAAACCCAACTATCTATATTTCTAATAACTGAATCCCCAACTATTATTACCAATCTCTTCCTAATAACTGGAATTCCCTCCCCCAGAGCGGTATCCTCAGTGTAAAAGGATACCATGACATCATCTGGAAGGAGGGTCCCAGCAATGGGATCATTTCCCTCTGCTCCAGCCTGATGTTCTCCTTCCCAAAGACTTTCATCCTCCTCAACAGCACAGAGGCTGTCAAGACTGGGGTTAGGACCGCTCTATTATGTTCCAGAAAGTCTCGTCTATGTAACTCTCGGTCTCCTTTAGCTCTTCCAATACAGCCATTCTGGTCTCAAGAGTCCATACTCTGTCTCTGAGGGCCATGAGTTTCTTGCACCAAATGCACACGTCACTTGCTGTTGAACTTCTGCCTGCATTTTTTTTTTTTGTTGCTCTTGCAGGGTTTTTGTTTGTTTGTTCTTTGTGTTCATTTTTTATTTTCCTTTGGGGGGTTGTTGGTCTAAGTTTAGAGAATGTTTATTAGGTGCATCTGACTCTCATGCTCCTTCTCTAACGTCTCACGCAAAACTCCCCCTTTTGCTGCTCCTGCTCACTAGCTCCACTGGTCCCTTCCAAGCTGGCTTTTTAAAACTCCTGTTCTCTCTAAATTAGCCATCCATGATATAGGCGGGCCTTTCAACAAAACAATCAACTGTTAGATTGAACAGCTAAAATCCACAGCTGACCACACACGAAATGGTAACTCATTCCCACACCTAACGGCATTGTACAGCAATTAACAAATTAACACAAAACCCTTCCCTCCTTCATTCCATTTCCTGCCACAGGTGGCCACAAAAAAAAAAAAAAAAAAAAAAAAAACAACCCCCCAAAACCCCAAAAAACCAAAAACAAACAAAAAAAAAAAAAAAAAAAAAAAAAAAAAGAGATCTTGCAGCATGTATAAACCCCAACAGATCAGAATCGGCCCTCTTCCCACAAAATCAGCTCTGGCAGCTCCCTCTCTTCTAAATCTAATGAACTCTAGCTCAGGAACCTTTGTAAAATTTGGAGAGAGAGAAAAAGTTGTAGCCACAATTAGGGTTTAAAGGTCAAAATAAACCAGCACTTTGAAGTCAAGTTACCTGGACTGTATACTTCTGTATTTCATCCAGAACAAATTCCACTTCTTTTGAGGTTGTTAATGAGGCAAGGTTCCCACTCAAATTGTAGCAGTATAGTTTGGCATTGTCATAGCTTTCACGACTAGAATTTATGCGGAGGCAGGCATCGCCAATGTGACTCCATCCTTCCCCACACAGATGAGCTAGTACAGAAATCACATTAAGATACAAATGTATAAGCAGAAAAGCATGCAAACGCACATCTAGAAGGTTTAGTTGTTGTTTTTTTCAAGTCACGGTCCAGTCTATACCGTTACTCAGTTTCATCATAATTTATAAATGTAATATTAAACAACCTAGAAAATCAAGTTTTATATTACTTTGAATGTCAATATAGTAAAAGTGCCAATTAACAAGAAAAAAATACAACATATATAGTGTTGCAGTAAGTTATATTCTGAGTTACAGTCTAATAGCATCGCTAGTATAATCCTTCTGATATTTATAAAGACTTAAATGTAAATAAGCATTCAAGGCTATACTACACAAATAATATATACAGGTTTGACATTTTGGTGCCATGGCAATAGTTGTCTCAGAAAAATGAGTTGATTAGAGTTTATCTAAATCTTTTTTTAGAAATATGAAGACAAATTTATTAAAACCAAAAGATCACAAAAGTGTGTCTTCTTTCTTTCGTCCTTTCTATAATCTTAAAATAATAATCACCCTATACCAGCATGGTGGCTAGAGACACAATACTAAATGTCAGTAAAACAAATTTCTGATATTTTAAAATTTTAGAGAAAGATATGTTTTTAAGCGTATCATTAATATATGTTTAGCACTAGTCACATGCACATTATTGTTAAAAGATGAGCAACTAATTGATAGCAGTTAATGTATTCTTTTAAACTAGCATCTTCAAAGATTGTTTACATGCACTTTATGGTTGTCTAAAACTTATTATTTAAAATTACTCACTGAGCAATTTCCGCAAATAACTTGTTCGGTAGATTGTTTAGAAGCAGTTTGTTACAAGAATCTGGTATCAAAGGCAAGGTTTTTTTGTTAGCTTTGATTAGACACACAAATCACATTTGTATTGTTTATATTCCCTGATTGGATGTGCATGGTGTATCTAATCTTTTTCACAGTAAGAATATTTGGGTTTTAAAAAGTCAAAATTTGCTTTCTGGGAATGTTTTATATTAGCATCTTAAAATGAACTGTTATCATGAACATTCCTGCCAGCGAACTCAGTCACTAGATTATCCTTAAAAAAGAGATCTTAAGGGCAGTGAGCACAAGCAAGACAAAGTCATTTTTTCTAGTTGAGTAAATATTCATGGAAATTAATTTGGGAGATTCACCCAGCTCTCAAAACAATTAAAAAGCAGATATCAAATTTCAAAGCTTTTACCTGGTAAAGCCTGGCATTCTTGCTGCCGCTGATCCCACTGGCAGTTCAGGTTTAGTGAGCAACTTTTACAGCTGGTCAATTTATTACAGATCTGTTCATTTCTCACATGACATTTGGTGTAGTTTTTGACTGACTATAAAAAAAAAAAACAGACACAGAGTATACCTTTTGTTAAACTGCTCATAGATCAGAAATCAGGAGTAAAGTGCACAAGGCTCCCACCAATCCAGTTGTTTGTTGGTTAGACAGGCAAATAAATCTACTGATTCTAAAAAAGTGGGAAAGGATTCTGGTGTCACTGACTGGAGCAGAAAAAAAATAAAGGACCTCATATATGTCAAGAATTCCAGTAATTTCATCTTAGATTTTTTTTAAAACTACTTGTATTTAAGATATGAAGTATAAAATTTAAAGAACCCAAAGACTACCATTTTGGCAGGAACAAAAGAATTCCCTCTGCACTTCAGTGAATGAGCAACACAGTAAACTCTGAAGGCAATTTTTAGCTAAAATGCTTTGATGACTGAAGTATTGCTCTCTAAGTAAGGCATTTATCTTTTTCCTGTTTGGGGCTTTTAGACCAAGATGCAAGTATTGAGACCTTATTTAATAAATCACACAGAAAAGTGTCATTAACATACACTTAAGACTGCCTCCGTTCATTTCATGTCAACACAAGCAATATAAATTAAGGAATTCACAACTTAAAGCAACATTATAATCACAAAACCCAAATACACACAAACTCCTCAAGTCCACAACAAATTCCTTTTCAAGTCCAACACAACTGGTCACAATGTGCACATATGCAATTCTTCGGATTCAGATTCAAAAGACACAATGTAAACTCCAACCTAATCTAAACTAAGATATATTCCCTACAAACATAGGCATACTAGTAAGCTCAGGCTGTAGGTGTTGGAAGTGGTGATATTCAGCTCGTAGAGACAATATGCGTCAGAAGGAGAAATTTCAAGCATTTAAAAATTTCTGAAATATTCAAGAGGAAGAAGAAAAGCAAGAGGTAACAGTGTAAGTGAAGAGAACAAGAGGGAAAAGAAGGAAGATTTCCAATTCTTTAACCCCTCCCCTTTTTTTCTTTACTGTGTAATGACAACAAGTATACATTAGATGTAGATCAGAAAGCCAAATTCAAGGCCCAATTCAAGCATGAATCCACACAATTCAAACTGACAGAGTTCAATTTTTCACTATGATCTGGACTTTGCCAAATAAATCTCGCTCCCAATTCACTGTTATATTAGCATGTGGTGTGGTCTGCAGTTAGACTGCACTGGTGGCATGATCCTACAGTGATGGCCCAGAAAGACCTTCCAGTTTCATTTAAGACAGGGATCTCAAACTCAAATCACCACGAGGGCCACATGAGGACTAGTACATTGGCCCGAGGGCCGCATCACTGAAACCTTTTCATACAACGATACAAAAGTATAGTCAAAAAGGAAGAGTAATATAGTATGCTATTAAAAGTCAATGTATTAACTTTTTTAAAACTGTAATGTGAAAAGTCAGTGCTAATTTTGACACTCATTTCATTTTTGGCCACTTAGCTGGCAGCGTTTTGCATCAACCAGAGCATCAATATTAGGTTTGATATCCTAAGATGAAACCAGTGTCCGTGTTGCTTGCAAATTGTACCACATTCCATACAAAAAACTACACTAAGAGAATGTTAAGACTGCACAGTTAAGCACACGTGCCAAAATCAGGGTTGCACACACAACTTTTTCTCTGCCACTTTGAGACTATATGTTATCATGCAATCTTTTAATTACAGGGTCACGTACTGTTTCTCATATATCTTTTTTCTACATCCTTAAATTGTATAGCATCTTACAGTGATTTTTCTACTGACTTTTATTGCGTTGTCACAGTAGCCCAATATATGATTACTAGCAAAGGACTTGCCACTTAGCCACTCAAGTTTATGGTAAGTATGAGTGAGGGTGAGCAAATGTGTGTTGTGATGGAAAGCTGTGTTGATTCGTGCCTGCAAAAAACCCCACTCCACCCCTTCCATGAGTCCCCGCCCGGCCCCGCTTCTTCCCACCCCCCACCCCTTCCCTGCCCCCTCCCTGCCCCTATTCCAATCCCTTCCCCAAATCCCTGCCCCGGCACCGCCTCTTCCCTGCCTCCTCCCCTGAGCGCACCGCGTCCCCCCTCCTCCCTCGTGGAAAGGCGGGAAGCACTTGTAGGAAGGTGAAGGAGTGGGCACACAGCGTGCTCAGGGGAGGGTGATGGGAGCTTGGTGGGCTGCAGGAAATAACTCCGCGGGCCACATGCAGCCCGCGTGCCACGTGTGTGAGACTCCTGATCTAAGGGCATGTCTTTATGAGGAGAACTCAGGAAAATTAAGGTGAATTAACTAAAACTGTTTAATATCCATAAACTAAAGCACATTAAACACTGTGTAGGTGGTCTCATTCAGCAGTAAAGTGGTCATAGTTCACCATAGTTTAGGGAAGATTAAGCTACAGCAAACCAAGGCCAGTTTAATCCTGAATGACAACATCCACACAGGAGTTTAATACACTTCGATTTACGCACATAACTTCATACCTTTAGTTGATTTGCGTTAACCTTCCAGATTGTCACCATGTGGACATGGCCTACGACAAAATGATCAGGCTACTCAAGTATTCCTTGATACATCTCTGTTCTTATGATACTAAAGACTGTACTTGAAAAATGCAATCACTGAGGTTATCTAAATGGAAATACTTTGTCATTTAAGGCAATTGGTGAGTTCTTAAGGGCTACCATTCCAAACGCACACAAAGGGCTATGCATCTCTAGCAAGCGGATGTTTTATTTTTATGTATTTTAATTTCTTTTATAACTACCATGCTTGCCAACCAGCAGCACACTTATGTCATCAGGTACCATCTATACCATTCTCCGTTCCTCTCCCCAAACTCACCATCAGATTTCTTTACCCTTCTCAGTAACTAGGCAAAAGATTATTTTGACAGAAATGAGGCAAATACAGTGGTGCTGGAACAGTTTTTGGAGTGGGAGTACGGAGCTGCACCCCTCTTACCCGCATTGCAACTCTCACTGCCCCCTAGACCTGGGGCTGGGAGCAGGACTGTGGCTCGGGAAGGGAGGGATGCAGACAGGGGTAAGGCGGCAGAGGCTGAGGCCACAGCTAGGGGCGGGTGCAGAGTCTCAGGCATGGGGCCAGTAGCTGGGGCCAGCCGCATGGACCCCGGGCCTGGCGGCCTGGACCCTGGGGCCAGAAGCCAGGCGGGACCCCGGGCACAGGGCCGGCAGCCGAGCAGGATCGTGGGACTGGCAGCGGAGCCCCCAGAGCCAGTGGGTGAGCAGTACCCCAGGCCAGCTGTGGAGCTGGCAGCTGGGACCCTGGGCGGCAGGGGCACGGGGCCAGAGGCCAGGATGCCGGGCACAAAATCTGGGGGTGTTGCAGCACCCCCCGCAACCTATTTCCTGCACCTTTGGGCAAATACAGTTAACGCTAAGACTCACTGTTTCCACATTCCAGAAAGAGTTATTCATTGAATAACAATGAAGTTAGATGTTGGTGAAGTAATATCTTTTACTGGACCAACTTCTGTTGGTGAAAGCCAAGCTGTCAAGCTTACACAGAGCTCTTCTTCAGATCTGGGCATCTTTCCACATTTATAATACAAGGAGTATGCAGTAGTTAAAAATAAAGCATAACCAATTTAGCTAGGTATTCCATTTGTCAAATCCACTCCATCGCTAGATTAGTACTGGCATAGAATTCCTAATCTATGTCTAATACGCATTTGTTGTCTTTTCACAACAAAGTAATAGTACAATTATTAACAAAAGTCCCCACGCTCAGTCAAATGTAAAGACAGGCCTGCTGCAACAATATGAAAAAGAATTACATCCACAAAGAGCCCACATACTCAACAACTAATTAAAAAAATGAAGTTGGGTTTGTTTCCTGCAGTACTAGCTTTATGACTACTCTAGGTCATAAAGCAGTTTATTCTGTAGAATTGGAGAAAAAGAATTGTAGGCATTGGGTACATCTACACAGGATAAAAGACCCATGGCACGGTCGCAGCTGACTCTGGCTCGCGGGGCTTGGGCTGTGGGGATAAAAATTGCTGTATAAACGTTCGGGCTCAGGCTGGAGTCCCTCCACTCTTGCAGGGTCCCAGTGCCCAGTCTGCAGCCTGAGCCTGAATGTCGACACAGCAATTTTTCAGCCCCAGAGCCCAAGCCCCATGAGCCCGGGGCAGCCGCATATTTATCACTGTGTAAATGTACCCATTCAGACCCTCCCCATTAGCTCACCCTGCAACTGCTGGGAAGACATCTAACTTCATTGTTATTCAATTTACCTGCCTCTAAGATAGGTAAGTATTATACACATTTCCTCCGGGGAATGTTTTGAAGACTATGTAATGTTTGAAAATCACTTTAAGATCATCCACTGAAAGGCACAGTAGATGTGTATAAAAGCACCATTAGCATTAGCAGAAGCTGACAGTGCCACCAGTATTTGCATTTGGTTCATATGTACTTGGCTACAAATTAGTTACACAAGCATGTGTGCAGTGTTGTAGCCGCATTGGTCCCAGGATATTAGGGAGACAAGATGGAATATCTTTTATTGGACCAGCTTCTTTTGGTGAAAGAGACAAGCTTTTGAGCTGCACAGAGCTCTTCTTCAGGTCTGGGGAAGGAACTCAGAGTGTCACAGCTTGTTTTGCATAAATAGTTAACACATTCTATGAGATCATTCAAGGTGAGGTGGCCCATTAACACCTCTGCGGTCAGAGGACAAAAAAGGAGGGTGTCATAACTATAAAGGGAAGGGTAACAGCTCTCTGTGTACAGAGACTCCAAATCCTTTTACCTGTAAAGGGTTAAGAAGCTCGGGTAACCTGGCTGACACCTGACCCAAGGACCAATAAGGAGACAAGATACTTTCAAATCTTGGGGGGGGAAAGGCTTTTGTGTGTGCTCTTTGTTTTAACGAGTGGTTCGCTCTGGGGACTGAGAGGGACCAGACATCAATCCAGGTTCTCCCCATCTTTCTAAACAAGTCTCTCCTATTTCAAACTAGTAAGTAAAAGACAGGCAAGGCGTCTTAGATTTACTTTGTTTTCTCAA